CCTAACAGATCTAAAGGTTAAAATCAAATGTATTTAAAAAGGAGATGGTGTTGTGGTAAAAAGAACATCTCAGCTGAGGAGCCGTTGGTCTCAGCAACCAACAGGCCCCAGGTCAGTCCTTTGACCCCCCATTAATTTTATGAACCGGGTCGTATATTTGTTTCTAATATCCTACACTAGCCTTATGTTTTGGAAAAGTTATTGCATGAATGTACATGAATTTCTCTCTAAATGTTTGAAAAAGTGACCTGTAAATATTGTCGTTAGGGTTAACCCTAACCCTGCTTTTTTGTCCATCCATCCATCCATTGTCAAACCGCTTATCCTGCACACAGGGTCGCGGGGGGGCTGGAGTCCATCCCAGCCAACTTCGGGCGATAGACAGGGTACATCCTGGATTGGTCGCCAGCCAATCACAGGGCTACACAGAGACACACAACCATTCACACTCACATTCACACATCTACGGGCAATTTAAAGTCCCCAATCAACCTGATCCCCAGAGTGTGTCTTTGGACTGTGGGAGGAAGCTGGAGAACCCGGAGAGAACCCACGCAGACACGGGGAGAACATGCAGACTCCACACAGAAAGGCCACTGGGCGGAATCGAACCCAGGACCTTCTTGCTGTGAGGCAACAGTGCTAACCACCACGCCACCGTGCCGCCCCTGCTTTTTTGTTCATATGATAATGCTAAATGTGGAAAAACTGCGCAGGATTTTGGAACATGCAACATTTTACAAATGGCGCCCCATACAGCCTTAGCAGGTCAGCTAGCGGTTATTTTGACCTGAGCGTTGTCTTGCAGGGATATCGCCGACACTGTATTATTGTCATACGATACGCACATGGGCTCGGACATCGCTGTTATTAACTGAAAGTTAGATGATGTTTAGATTGTGCTTGTTTTATGTGAATGCTGTTTTGTTAATTAAAGCAGAAACAACGTGCATGTCGAACTGAATGCCTGGTGTCGTTTCTGCTGTTCAACTGTATCCGTCCTACAGGTTAATCATTCAACTTTGCTGCTGTGCTCCCATTCCTGGGACCCGTAACATAAGTCACTCCTGATTATTATGCACAACTGCAAAATGTGCAGCATAATGCCAAGTCAAGAGAGACTCCAAAAGCAGAAGGACAGGGAATATATCCTGTGTTTGTTCATTTTATTATTCATATTTTCAATTTGCTGAATCCTTTTGGCGATGAATGCCCTTTTGTTTTGAGCACCTGCCCCCAAAATGTCTGTGCACGTGCCTGATATTGCATCAAACAGTGCACTGATTAATGAGTATTGCTGTGTACATTAATTAACACAAAATAATCTTTGTGTGGTGAACTGCTGTTGCTAACACATATTGGCCTCGGTTTATTTATTCATATTCATTAACTTGTATAATGTTACTCTGGTATGTGTTTGTGTCACATTAGCATTTCTAGCATACACACTTTCTATTGCGTGGACTTTTACTGTGAAAATGTGATTTCTCAAATTCCAACAATCCAGAAGAACCAGCCGCCATTATGGAGGCGAGAGAAGAAGGAGGGAGAAATGGCGACATGTTCGCGGAACTTAAAAGTAGAAACGGGTGTTTGTAGAATGCGTCGGTCGCTCTTCTGTAAGTGTCTCGCAGCACAAAGAGGTTCTGAGGTGAAGTTATCGTGACTTTAACTATATAGAGTGTTAATGCATTGGGAGAATAATCCAACCTCACTGTAATCACTATCACCTTCATTAATTACCCTGAGACCACAACGACACCCAGTAAGCTTCAACCTCATGAACCTTTTAAAGGTTGGACAGTAGAGAACTTCTTCCAAAGAGGGTTCTTTGGGCATGAAATGGTAAAACATGTTATAACAGGGTCTTATGCTAAAAGAGTGATACTTGTCTGTATTGAAGTTTCTGTTTCCGCTGTGTATGCTCGGACAAAAGGAAACTGGCTGCTAACCCATATTGAACTTTATCCTGTCTTATAAACTAGTTTTTTTAGCCTTTGTTAACAGTTCCTGATGTGTAATTTCATAACCAAGTTGCCATCTCCCGTGTGCTCTAGTGCAGAGTTTTTTAACCTTTCTGGCGTCAAGGCACAATTAAGACACAGTAAAAATCTCCCGGCAACCGGAAATGATATGAAAATCAATCCCAAACATAGTTTCAGCATCAGCATAATATCCTCTAAGAAATCAGGGAAACGCGTGTTCTGTTTGTTGTGTTTTATTAAACTTAACATCATCCTAATGCCAAGATGTCACCGGCTTTATGCCCAGTATCTCTTAAGCCTTAATCTTTAAACTTTTAAACGTTTTTAAATTGTCGCCGCAGCAAATCTGCCTATTAATGACGCTGCGTAGCGCCACCCACAGGCGGAGGGGAGTATTGAGCCTTCACACCACCAACAGCGCGACACACACACACAAGTTGGCTCTTTTTTTTCACCAATGAAGTGACAGTATTTAAAACATGTTTTTTTTTCACGGCACACCTGACAGCCTCTCGCGGCGCACAGGTTGAGAAACACTGGTCTAGTGGTTCGGGTTCGCGCCGCCGCGGGTCACCTGTCACTGGGTGAGTAAACCGTAAACTGTCAGGCTGCGCTGTGAGGGGCAGCAGCGTGCGGCAGACCTGCAACCACGGGAAGAAGAAGAAGAAGAAGAAGAAGAAGAAGAAGAAGGAGAAGAAGAAGAAGAAGAAGGAGAAGAAGAAGAAGAAGAAGCAGGAGAAGCAGCAGCAGAAGAAGAAGAAGCAGCAGGCTCGTGTAGAAGATGGCGGCTCTCCGCACCGCGCATCCCGCTGTCCTCCGCGGGGCCCTCCGGCTTTACATCCGGGCTCCGGGACCTCCTGCCTCGGCTGTCGGCCTCAGGTGTGTTAGTGACGCTGCTCCACAAGACCAAACCGGGGTCCCTTCGGAATCCACGGAGGAATACAAGTTCGTGGAGCGGCTCGTCCCGCCGTCCCGGGTCCCCGCTCCGCCGCCGCGCGCCGGTCCTTCCCCGTCCGGCTGGACGCCTCCGGCAGACGCGCCGCCGCCGCTGGCCTACACGGTCCGCCGCTCCCGCATGCACAACATCCCGGTGTACAGCGACACGACGCACGGCAGCCGCAGGACAACGCTCGTGCGGAAAGTGGAGGGGGACATCTGGGCTCTGGAGAGGGACGTGAAGCAGCACCTGAAGGAGGTGATGGGGACGGAGCCGCCCACGCAGGTCAACGAGGTCACCATGACCTTGAAGGTCAAAGGTCATGTCGACAGTGAGTTGAAGGAGTGGCTGGCCAGCAAGGGCTTCTGACCGCGTGCTGAGCTCAGGGGGCAGATGGCTGTCAGGTGAAGAGGACCTCTGGGACCTGCTGAGAAGACAGCACTCATTTGAAACCACATGGAAGAACAGCTTTAGTTATGGGCTCACGGCTTGGTAACATACCTGTATGTAGTGAATGTAACATCACACATAAAACTATTGCCAACTTCCCATTGCTGTGTGTGATGTTGTTACTTGTCTTTGTGAATCCAGACACAAGTGGGTTAGATGTCGTGTGTAAGAGACGCTTTGTTCCAGCTTTTCAGCGTGGAGTCCTTGAGCTTTAGTGTCCACCTGAGATGGTGTGTGAGGACTATTGTGTGTGTGAAGAGTGGAGCACTCCGCTAACTGATGGTAAAACATGTCATAACATGGCCTCATGCTAAAAGAGTGATAGCCGTCTGTATTGAAGTTCATCGAGGGAAAAGAATAATGGCTCAGAGTTTGTTTGCAGCTCTGTTAGAAGAAAGGTGAGCACCTCACAAAGCAGGTGAGCCAGTTTGGGTAAAGTTGAGGATGTGGTACTTAGCAGTTCCTTTTCCTGAGCCTTTGTGTGCAAGTTGCATAACCTAGTTTCATATGTACCAGTGGATCGCTGGGTTTGACTGTGTGTGTGAATAAAAGCTCAGTACCTTGACTGCTTGGTGACACCATGCAATGAGTCTGATCAAACTATCTTCACTATACTGCATCAAACAGTGCACCGATTAATGAGTATTGTTGTGTACATTGATGAATACAAATTAATCTTTGTGTGGTGAACTAATGTTTCTAACACACTCATATTGGCCCCGGTTTATTTATTCATATTCATTAACTTGTTTAATGTTACTCTGGTATGTGCTTGTGTCACATTAGCATTTCTAGTGTAGGATATTAGAAATAAACTGTCGACCCGGTTCATAAAATTAATAAAATACATTCAGTGTACACCAGAATACAGCCATGATTCTGAAACTGTAATCCATAAAGTAATGACAATAAAACCACTGTAATTCTGCAACTGTAATAGAATAATACCAATGCAGTTATGATTGTATTTGATGTAATGTGATCAACTGGAATGCATGCATGTAATACTTGAACAACAACTGATATTGACTGAGAGACATTTGAAATCCGAGTCACATTGAACTCACCAGAAGACTCCCAGAGGTGTGGACACTGACTTTCACACCTTTAAGCATTGGTATAAATACCTGTAGGAACCATTGTTCTGGAGTTCACAGGTGGAGGCGACAGACGGGCACTAGGGGGGTCAAAGGACTGACCTGGGGCCTGTTGGTCGCTGAGACCAGCGACTCCTCAGCTGAGATGTTCTTTTTTACCACAACGCCATCTCCTTTATTCAATACATTTGATTTAACCTTTTGATCTTCAATTTGAACACAACACTAGCATACAAACTTTCTATTGCGGGGACTTTTACTGTGAAAATGTGCGTACTTCCGGTCCAGCTGCTGCGCTCCTTTTCCTGTTTGAAAGTCAGGAAAGACAAACACGGGATTGTGGTTTCGATGCCCCGTCGTTCTACAATGAAGACGCAGCTTTTTGTCCGCCTCACTCCGGTTAAAGATACGTGTTGTTCGAACAGCAGAAGAGCTTTTTAATATATGTTTATACATCAAGCGTTCTAATATTCCAACAATCCAGAAGAACCAGCCGCCATTATGGAGGGAGAGGAGAAGGAGGGAAAAATGCCGACATGTTCGCGGAACTTAAAAGCTTGAATATCGTCAAACTGTAGAAACGGGTGTTTGTAGAATGCGTCGGTCGCTCTTCTGTAAGTGTCTCGCAGCACAAAGAGGTTCTGAGGTGAAGTTATCGTGACTTTAACTAACGCCGCTGTTGTTTAGGTGCGGTCCTCTGTGTCTCCGTCCTCGTGACTCCAGGGACGTGCTGTCTGTCCAAGGAGTACGAACTACCGGGCGGCTGGTGCTGTCCGATGTGCCACGAAGGTAAGCGGACACTCCACCAGCGTCTCCCCGGTTAACAACAAAGGCCGTTTCTCAATACCTAAGACGGCGAGAACGGACTCGCGTTCTCGCGAGAATAGACTCGGGAGTCCTGACTCACGGGAGAACGGAGAACGGACATTTCCGCAATTGGAACAGCAGCTGACTTGATGACGTCACCACAGTAGGCGGTCTTTGTTTACGCACGCAAGTGGAAATGTATAAAAAGCCAGCAGCGTGTTAACGGTTGTGGAAGGTGTTTGTTGAAATTGAAAAAGTATTCTGATTGAGTAGCTGGCAACGAAGAGCACAATAGAAACATATAGGTATTATTATATTTAATAATTAATTAATTTGAGTAGTAACTACATGGATCCGTACTTTAACATATTTAACTAACGTTAAATGACCGAAAAATAAACTAACAGATTAGACGTCATACAAAGCAAAACGAATTGTATGTGTCATGTCACATTAAAAGGTGATTCTCGAGAATAGGCGGCTGGAATGAGCGCTGACCGCCCGGTGCGCGAGAGGTTACGTTATAACGGCTCCGTTAGATTTGGAGGCATTTTTATTAAATAGGCTGAATGTTGACCACACATTTGTTGCTTAAACCGCCAACTTGTATCCTTAAAAAGTGTTCACATCACATTCCGTTAATTAACAATAGTGGTATTTAATAAAAGACGACTTACAGTTGTGCGTTTTCTCATCTGCCATCGCAGCTTGCTGAGGTGAAATGCATTCTGGGATATATGTCTCTCACAAGAACAGACGAGCCTGCTTCGATGCATGCCCGGTAAAATGGGCGGGGCGAGTCACATCCGGGTATTATGACCGTTCTCGGCCAGATGCGGACTTGAGAATTGGAACAGTACTCGGGCTGTGACTGATGACGTTTCACGAGTCCACGAGAACAAAAGTCCACACAAGAACGCATATTGAGAAACGGCCTTGTCGCTGCAAACAACACACGGACATATTTATACGTCACACGGACATATTTATACTCATGTCCGTGTGGACCTGGATTACATTGAGAATATGGACAACTATTTGTTTCTTTTAAATCGAGTTTCACTTTCGTTTCTAAATAAAATCTAACGACACATATATTGGGTGAAACTTTAAAACAATACTATTCGGCTAAGAAAGTATTTTTTACGTTCTAACAAATACATTTCCGAAACGTTTTTCTAATAAAGAATGTTCTCTATGACGATGGGGACATGTTAAGCTCAGCAAGATCCAGCTCCACACATATGATGAAAATGACAAAATATGAGTTTATAGGCATATGGTACGTTCACACCAGAAGCGAAGCGAATTATTCGCGTCAGTAGAGTCCATGTAAAGTCAATGCACTGACGCGTCTGGACGCGAATGGGGCGAATTTCAAACGGCGCGAATGACGCAAAAGACGCGGCGCGAAACGAGCGACACGAATAAATCGCTCTTTCGCCCAAAGTTGAAATATTCCAACGAAAGCCAATCAGCGTTGAGATGCTCCGCTCGTCATCACTGAACACACGTTATTAAACAGCCGCTCAAGTTAGTTAGTGTGTGACCGAGAGACGCACCGAGCCGACACAACAGGTCATCAGACCGGCTGCTGGTCCGCCTGAAGCAGCGTGTAGTTAAATGATTCTATTGAAGCTCTGATCCAATGGGGTTACGTTAGGCACCTTATCTGCTGTTCTGATTGTTTCCCATCGTTGATGATCTGAAGGTGCTTTTGTCTTGAACAGGTTCAGTGGTTAAAAGAGACTGCACCCCTCATTCAGGCACGCGGTGCGTCCCCTGTGTGGACGGGACGTATATGAACCAACCCAATGGGCTGAATAAGTGCTTCCCCTGCAGCTCCTGTGACCAAGGTACGTCCATAATCAGCTGAGTCACCTTTCACTCTCAGGACACCCTCCTGTTATTATACTGGACAAAATTAAACCGAATAAAAGACACAAAGCAACTATTTGCAACCCTGGTAATGGATGCAACTTGATTCCCAATGAATCTGATGATGTGCTGTGAGGTTGATGCCACGTTGGCTGTAAAGAGGACCGTAGTCATCTTCTGTCCGTCTCATATCATTCAGTTCATTTGTTGCAATCCGCTGTCCAGCATCTTTGTTTAACTATAATATAATGAGTCTGTGTTGGTTTTCAGGCCGTGGTCTCTTTGCCAAACAGAACTGCACATCAACAAGTGACACCGTCTGTGACGTCATCGCTGGTCACTTCTGCACGGACCCGATAGAAGATGAAGATGAAGATGAAGAATGCCGTTCGGCACGCAGACATTCAGACTGTGAACCTGGTCACAGGGTCAAAGAGCGTGGTGAGAAAAACTCCAGTCACACAGTGACTACGTCCACGGCTCGTGGTGGTGTAGCTGGTTATTGATCTCTTTGGCCACAGCTCAGGCACGTCTGTGCCTCATGTCCATGTCCAGCACACCTTCTAGGTCTCCTCCAGTCTGGTCTCTGAGGCCTGAACTCTTTCACTAGATTCAGCATGCAGACACCACGACGTATACGAGGATAAGCAACGGTTCTTCTAAGTACAGCTGCAGTAAACATGATCTCTATACTCCAACTAGCCTCCTCAGGTCACTTACAGCAGGATTTATTGAGCCTCTCAGGTAGCGTGAACGTCATCAGGTCTCGGGTACGAGTGTGCATGAGCACTCCCTTGATGAACACATGGATCTGATTCATGATGCTGGTCGTTGGGTTCCTGTGTCGTTCATCTCCGCTTTGTCTGTTTCTCCAAGGGACCAGAAGAACTGACACAACGTGTGAACCTTGTCCCGCAGGCAGTTTTTCACCGGAGGGTGTGAATTGTTCACTTTGGACCACGTAAGACCTTGTTTGTTAAAGAATGTCTGTAAAAAGTGTGCTGTAATAAACGTATAAGCATAGTGATCCCACTATGCTTATACGTTTATTACGTTGACCAGTAGTCAAGTTTCCCCTGAGATGGACCAACCCCCCATCGGGAGATTCAAGACGTCACCAACCCCCCAGGCCCGTTTCATTTGGTCACTTTCAATACATCTACAAGCGTTCCTGGTAATGTTCCGTTTTTAACACCAAAAGCACTAAAGCTCTTCTTCATTTCTCTTTTTTGACAGTTGCTCAGAAAACCAAGTGGAGGTCAAAGGAGGAAACCTGACCAGTGACACTGTTTGTGGAGCTGCTTCAGGAGGCCGTCACGGGTTAATACCTGTACCTGTAGTTGTACTTATAATGGTAGAAATAGGAACACTGGTTGTCCTCTGGATATAAAGTTAGTACTTGTCTTTGCAACCCTCATCTGATTGGCTGACATGACTTTGTTCCATCATTGCCTTCACAGCCTTATTGTTTAAGCTGATACCTTTCTTGCTTTTGTATTTCAGGGAGAAATCAAAAGAACCAACAGGTACGTTTGCTCCATATGCAAATGTTTGTCTCAAATAGGCTGCACCACATTAAATCTGCTCCATTACCAAGAACATCCCCCCTGTAATCTGGGAAACAGGGAACCGTATTTTGCATTAGTGCGCTAATTGAACTCGTACGTTAACCCTCAACCTGAGGAACACGTTCTGGAAGAAGATCTTTGCTCAAGTGTCAGAGTCCGACTTTTACAAGCTTCATGAGGTTAAAACCTGCTGGATGTTGTTGGGACGCCTCAAAGTTAATTCATTAAATGCAAATGTCAGTGAAGACGGACTAAGTAGTAGCAAGTAGCTCAGACTGCTGCGCCCCGTCGGTGAGCAGAGAACAAGATATCTATCTGCACGCTGCATGACGGAGTGTGCAGCTGTTCAACCCGTATGCCGCCCAGCCCGAGTGCACACCACGACATCTGACCCACTTCTGTCTCACTAATACAAGTAATAACAGCACACACATTCACTACATACAGGTATGTTTAACCACCCGTGATCCCATAACTTCAGCATCTCTCTGGTGTCTGGAGGAGTTCAGTTCAGTGGCTGCAGGACGAGCTGTTCTTCCATGTGGTTTGAAATGAGTGCTGTGGGACAACGGTCCAACGTGTTGACATCTCAGCAGGGGCCCGGGAGCAGCGTACCATCTGGGGAAGAGACGTCGGCGTGTCTGCTGGAGGAGTCCAGTGGTGACATTCATCACATGATGTGACTGTCTGGAGCTTTACAATCCATCACCACGCAGTCCACCAGCGAGCTACAGCAGCGCGGGGACAAGGACCGCCGACTCATCATCACAACTAGGGATAGCCAGAGGGGAAGTACAGGCTCAGCGTACTCACACTTATGCTCCTGGAAGAACCCACCATTACTCACAATGTAGAGCCCACTCACGGACTGCAGAGCTGGTGCAATCAAGAGGGTGAATGAATCAAGAGGGTGAATGAAACAAGAGGGTAAATGAAACATTTGTATTCCGCCTGCTTCATTTATAGGCAGGGTTCATACAGTCATAAAAAACCTGGAAAAGTCATGGAATTTTGTTAAATGAACCACATGAACATAGAAATATAAGATACATATAATGTACAATGTACAGCTATGATTGTATTCAATGTAATCAACCGAAATCCGTCATGTGCTCAGGAAGAACCCACCATTACTCACAATGTAGAGCCCACTCACGGACTGCAGAGCTGATCGAGTGGAAACTGGAAACCAGAGCCTCGCTGCCCTCTTAGTAGCCACGTTTCTGGGCTACTAAGGCTACTTGGGGGGTCGTCGTGGCGCAGGGGTTAGAGAAGGTGTGCTGGGAAGCAAAAGGTTGGTGGTTCGATTCCAGGCTGCCCCATGATCCATGTCGAAGTGTCCCTGAGCAAGACACCTAACCCCTAATTGCTCCCCGGGCAAAATGTGAAAAATCCATGGGTTTAAAGTGTGATGTAAGTCGCTTTGGATAAAAGCGTCTGCTAAATGACCTGTAATGTAATGTAATGTTTCTGCCGCTGGTGCTGGTTCCAGTGGGAGCCATGGCCTGAAGGTCATGGCCAGTAGGCTCCTGGGGGACCTGCGACAGCGTGTGGTTCAACAGGCTGGTGCAGAGGTGCTCAGGGAGTGACTGAATGCTGACCATAGGCTGGGCTCTGAGGGGGACCAGGACCGGGACCAGCCAAGTGTACCTGGAAGTCACTAGAGCCGCTCTCCCTCCTCTTCACTGAGATGAGGAGAGGAGGGTTCATACAGTCATGAAAAACCTGGAAAAGTCATGGAATTTTGTTAAATGAACCACATGAACATATAAATATAAGATACATATAATGTACAATGTACAGCTATGATTGTATTCAATGCAATCAACCGAAATCCGTCATCGACGCTGCCGCTCGCACCGACTCTAACCCAATCAGACAGGCCCGTCGCGACAGGACAGGCAAACAAAGCAATTACTTGGGGCCCCGAGCTGGCCAGGGGCCCCAAGACGACGACTGGTTAAGAGTCAAATGCAACGACAAACTGTGCGAGCGCCCCTTTGATAGTCAATGCAGTAAAGTGCAATGACACCGTTATCGGGATCCCCCCTCAAGGGGCCCCTCACTGCCGGGCTGACGGGGGGGGGGGTGCGTTTCCTGTTTGAAAGTCAGGAAAGACAAACACGGGATTTTGGTTTCGATGCCCCGTCGTTCTAAAATGAAGACGTAGCTTTTTGTCCGCCTCACTCCGGTTAAAGATACGTGTTGTTTGAACAGCAGAAGAGCTTTTTAATATATGTTTATACATCAAGCGTTCTAATATTCCAACAATCCAGAAGAACCAGCCGCCATTATGGAGGCGAGAGGAAGAGGAGGGAAAAATGGCGACATGTTCGCGGAACTTAAAAGTAGAAACGGGTGTTTGTAGAATGCGTCGGTCGCTCTTCTGTAAGTGTCTCGCAGCACAAAGAGGTTCTGAGGTGAAGTTATCGTGACTTTAACTAACGCCGCTGTTGTTTAGGTGCGGTCCTCTGTGTCTCCGTCCTCGTGACTCCAGGGACGTGTTGTCTGTCCAAGGAGTACGAACTACCGGGCGGCCAGTGCTGTCCGATGTGCCACGAAGGTAAGCGGACACTCCACCAGCGTCTCCCCGGTTTACAACAAGTGTCGCTCTCCGCCCGCTGCCGCGCAGTGACGGCAGGTCGCGGGGGTCGGTGGAAGGGTCTCTCCTCAGTAGACGTGGACCCGCCTCCTCCTCACGTGACATTCAGCGGTTTCGTGACGGGCGCGGACGGTCCGGTCAACGGGGGAAGATCCGCGCCCGTGTATATTATTTAACAACTGTGTGTTACTGCGAAACATTATCCTTGGAAAAGTTATTGCATGAATTTACATGAATTTCTCTCTAAATGTTTGAAAAAGTGACATATGAACATTGTCGTGCTTTTTAAAAAAATATGATAATTACATTGTAGCAAAACTGCAACATTTTACAAACGTGCCCCATAGCGAATAGACTGACAGGCCGTTCATTACATTAGCTGACACGTATATCTAAAGCGACTAAGGCTACAATAAGTGCATTTCAACCATAAGGACAAAGGAACCTGCCACCGAGCACTTTTCACACTCGGCCCTACTGCTGCTGCGAGCGTCACGCGGACATATTTATACTCATGTCCGTGTGGACCTGGATTACATTGAGAATATGGACAACTATTTGGTTCTCTTCTAAATCGGCGAGAGTTTCACTTTCGTTTCTAAATAAACTCTAACGACAAATATATTGGGTGAAACTTTAAAACAATACTATTCGGCTAAGAAAGGTTACTGTGCACGTTTTAACAAATATATTTCTGAAACTTTTTTCTAATGAATAATTTTCTCTATGACCGGGCCCAGTGAGCATTTTTTGGTTGAAAAGACATTTAAAAGACGTCTATGCCCGACCTTGAAAAGACGTTGCAAAATGGTTTAAAAGTGAAAGTTGTTTCAACGTCAAGTCGTCTATGTTCAGACCACATTTCAGCGTGATTTTTTAATACAGTAATATTTCGTCCTCTTGTGTGCTATATCATTATTTTAGAGGTTTAAAAGAAACTATGTCCACATTTGTAAGTTTACCGATATTATGAATCACGTTGAAAACGGGTCTATACGCGAACGTCTTTTTAACGTCTGTGAATAGACGTTGAAACAACTTTCACTTTTGAACCATTTTGCAATGTGTCTTCAACGTCGGGCCATAGACGTCTTTTAAACGTTGTTTTAACGGATAAATTGCCTGCTGGAAACTTACAAGTTACATACTTAAGTCACAGTTGTCATGTTAACAGCCCTTAACAAAGACAAACACATTATTTTATTAATTTGCATTTATTAGAAAATATAACACTATACATATAACAACAAGTTTGCTAATTAAAAACAACACAGAAATAAAATATATATTTCAGGGAAATAAACCATGAAATTAAAAGTGCAGAAACAACAATTCTGTGTTTGTAGACCAATTTTCTGAATCATTGGAACTTCATTATAGATTCTGTAACAAGATGTGGGTCTGAGTCACTTGAGTTGGGATAGTATACCTGAAATCAGCTGCGTCTCCCTCATCCTCACTTGAGGATTCTTTGAGTGAAGGGAGTCAGAGTGCACAGAGCAGATTCCTCTGGTCAACGTGTTTATTCAATTCAAATCATTTTATTCTGTTCATCTTTGCAATCTGTAAACATGCAACACCCTATTCCCTAAACCCCAAAATGTAAAAAACCTTCAACCGGGAGAAACCTGAGGGGAAAACCGCAGGGAAGAAGGTGTGTAGAGTATGAACAACTTAAAGATGTACAGTACATCCGATTCCTACAACAGAAATTATTAAAATATTGTGGATTATTAAGCAGGACCAGTGCAGGGACAACCATCATCAGACATAACCTCCGTCAGATGCAACCACCACCCGCAGAAACCTGTGAGGAGGGAAGCACAACGGCAAAGTTGGTCATTTGGGTTTATGATGACAGTAATAAACTAATAATAATAACAGCAGCAGGTGTGTTAGAACCCTCATTTATAGATTGTTCACTTATTACATTATCAACAAGATAACAATTCATCTGCAACTTATGGTATTTCTGGAGTAACATTTCCAGGTATATTACACAGTATTATGCTTTAAGCACGCAGTAACTTACAATGTTCTTTTAGTTCCAGTTTGTGCTCTAGACTGCACTATTGAGTTAACTGCCAGTGTGCCCTACTAACTCTGCTAGGTTTTGACCTGATCTAAGTCTGTTTTGCCTTGTCTTCTGAAGCAAATAAGACAAAAACTCTCATTTTGTCAAAACACCACATGGTGATTGTTCACTGATTAGGGTGTCAAGCTATTGGTGTTTTGCATTTTGAGGAGTTTCTGTCGAGGCCAATCGACCATTTGTCTCCTAAACGACGGGGGAGTGGTCAGCGCAGCCGCAGCCGACT